TATTAGAGGAAGACAAAAACACATTAGTAACCTAAGGTGTAGTGTAGCCGCGATAGCCAACATCCACCAAGGAAGCCAAGGGAGCCGGCACGACAACAGCGGCAAAGCATCCGCACGAGAAACGACCATGGCGGCCAAGCATCCGCCGGAAAAGGACCATTAGGGCAAAGCATCCGTAATGAGGGCCATCACACGCTCTGCAACTGAATGAGCGTGGAGACCGAAGCGACGAGGTGGCCAAGCATCCACCCAAGCAGCAACAGCGGCAAAGCATCCGCCAAAGAACCGAACGACAGCGGCAACAACAAACACCGAAGGACAAACCAATGCGAAGAAAGAGTGGTAGCACAGATAGGCACAGCAGAGCAGGCAGCAACACCGACAATCGACACGCGGTTAAGAGAGTTGTGGCAGCTAGAGTGCCCCAAACGAAGCCTTCAACAAGGGGATGACATCCGCAGATGCCAACAACGTTTGGAGAAGCACAGGTAGGATCTTCATCCATAGGATGAACAGAGCTTTTTTATCCCGGAGCCTGCCCCAACAACCCGAACGGTGCAGACAGGCTTCGACGATGCCTTCAAGAAGGAAAATGACGCAGATTGCGCCACCGCCGCTGGCCTGGAGTAAGAAGCCGGGTAGGGTAGACACCCAAGCACGTTAGTCGACACCGTGGGTCGGGGGAGGGGGTGCCACCATGCCAAGGGTCTTCCTGGCCGGCGAGCAGCGAACTCCGACTACCGCCCAGGGGACCATGCCGACGACGTTCCGAAGTGGACTCCAAGATGCGCAAGAAGGAGCCATGTCCACGACGACCACAAGGACTGCAGACGGCGGCCACGACGCCAGATCCGGACCACAAGGTCCCGGAAGGGGCCTCCGTCTCGTCCGCCCCTTGCTGCTCCACTAGCACCGCAACCCTCACCGGATCCGCAGTAGACCTCATGAGATTGGACCATGGAGGGCTCGAATCCGCCCCGACGATGGCCAGCTGTCGGAGTTGGGCCACCGCGCCGACCGTGTCCAGGCCGACCTTGCCGCGCCAGACGCTAGATCCGGCCGCGGACTGTCAGCACAGCACCGATGATGAGGACGCAAGGCGGGGAGTGGACGCGCCCGCGCCCGGGTAACCACGGTCACGCCCGGCACCGGCGCACGTAGATCCGGGCACGAGCCGCAGGCGCAGACGCGAGCAGACCGCCCATTCGGCCGCCTCGCAGACCCGGCACCGCGTGGATCTGGGCGGGAGCGCACGACCTGAGGCGGAGCAGACCGAGGATGGCAGATCCGACGCAGATGTGGACCCTGCTGCCGGCCTAGGGGCGCCGCCGGCCGAGGTCGAGCATGGGGAGGTCGGGTGGGTACGGGAGGGAAGAAGAGGAAGCGGGAGAGGGAGAGGGAGATGGAGCCACGGCAGGCCGCCTTTTTGAGCGACCACCGCGTGCCGCCGCCGCCGCTCACCGGAGGAAGCAGCGGCGGCGGGCGGGAGTGCGGCCGAGTAGGCCCCGACGGCGGCGACGGGTGGGAGCCCCTCGAGTCGCCACAGAGACGACGCGAGGGGAGAAAGGGGGAAGGTTTCACATTGGAGCAGTCTAACCGTGGCAAAAAGTTCTTCAGTTCGACCCTTACAGACGGTTCGACGCTGAGAGCAATTAAATACTATAGTTTTCACGCATGCTGCCATGCAGGAGGAGGAGCAGCGCTTTGGGCCGCGTTTAGTTGCCTGAAGTTGGCGCCGTCGGAATCACTGTAGCGTATTATAGCGCACTGTAGCATTTCGTTTGTATTTGGTAATAATTGTCTAATCGTTGACTAATTAGGCTCAAAACGTTCGTCTCGCAAAGTACAACCAAACTGTGCAATTAGTTTTTGATTTCGTCAATATTTAGTACTCCATGCATGTACCGCAAGTTTGATGTGACGGGGAATCTTCTTTTTTATAGTGCCAAAGCTTAAATTTTAGAGTAACTAAACAAGGCCTTGATCTGTATTTTGTTTATTGTTTCGTATGAGTTTGGCAGACAAAAAGCGAACTCCACACTGGAGCAGTCTTTGGTTCGCTTGCATGCCAATTAAATGGTGCCTTCGTGGCCTGACGCATGCGGCTCGGTTCGATGCTGACACCGGCGATGCTCTTAGTTTCAAAAATTAAAATCTTTTCTCATAGTAAACCATCATTTCATAATTTAGTACTCCCTCCGTCCATCAATGTAAGGCATGTTAGATTTTGACCTTCAACTTCTCTTACATTATATTGTGAATTGCTATGAAATCAACATCGTCTTAAAAGTATTTCGAGAATCAATCTATTGATGCAGCTTTGGTACATTAAACATGCATATAATTGGACTACTGTTGGTCAAACCTTATAAAGTCCAGCATTTCAAAATAAAAATACGCCTTACATTGATGGGCAGAGGGAGTGGAGGCTTATACGATCCAAAGTATTATATACTACTATTCCAATGTTTGGGCAGATAATCACATGGAAGCATTTTTTTTTCGGCAGCCTGGCAAGATATTGCATGGGAGTTATCACACAATATATATCTACGGAGCAACACAATAAACTAACCCTATATATAGTTATTGATCGAGGAATTTTTTTTCAACGACACAGGAGAGCTGTATGTGATTTCATTAAGAAGAGAATAAAAACAATGGAGGAGAGGCAGAGCGGCAGAGCCTGCTCCCGGCCGCAAGAACTTGCAAACTGAGCTTTGTGTTCCACTAAACAATTCAAAAGCACAGTTAGTAGTTTAGTACAACAATCATAATCTGTCCCAACTTTAATGATGTAAAAGAGATTAGTAGTTATAGTGTACTATCGAGCGTATGTAATGTTCCAATCTCATATGTTCTATCTATGCATGTGAACAAGTTAAGCCTTACATTATGAAATGAACAATGTAACTTAATTAAGGAATAAGCCTACTTAACCCCATAAGTATCAAGGTTCATCTGCCTATAACACACTTATGTACAAAATCAGGCATTTGGCTCCTGAAGTATTCCATACCATATAAATCTATCGTCTAAATGATTCTTAAGGGACGGGTTTTGGTGGGCCCATGTTGCAGTGTCCACCTAACAAGCCATGTGGGTTAAACCGCCTCCAAAGCAGCTCCAACGTGGTTTATGCTTGAGGAGATTAAACAGATAAACTGATACTAGGGGAAGTTAGGTAGACTTATCCCTTGAAATAATGAAAGGTACGTATGGATATGATCATGTGCACCTGCTTCGCAATGATGGGTTCATCCCTGCTAAAATTGACAACATAATTAAGCAATGGATCCACATTATCCCTCACTGCTATGTACCCATATAACTCTACTAAGCCACCATGCATCCACAGAAATTTCAGCCAAGTCTAATGACAAAATTTGCAGCATGCCACTAGGCTGATGTCGAATGCAACTTCCATCGTGAATGATACAATCTGTGGGATCTGACAATGCCATTGCCTCCAACCGAGCTTCATAAAAAGTAAAGTCATATTGTAAGTTTGATGGAATTTAACACCGTAAAAAAGTGATTAATATTCGAAAAGTAAATATGCTATTTGAGGATTACATGGACCTATTGGAAAATTTGTCCTTTCCATCTACTAAGCAGAAACAATATATGTTCTTTTTACTAGGAATCGTGCTACCTCAAGAGTTCTTTAGAAACACCCAAAGGAAACCATTGCCTCGAAAAGCTTGTCGGCTGCTTCCAGTGAAAGTATTGAGCATGGGGCTAATGAGGACTAAAGGGAGGGGATATCAACACGAACTGCATGGCCTCTTTTGTCCCAAAAAACATACGACTTGTGTCATGTATTTAGATGAGATTGGCGTGCTAGGAGTTGACTCGGATGATTTCCAGTTCATTGGTCCTACAAGTCAATAACTGTGTGTGCATTCATCACTCAACTAAGAAATTACTCAGAGCAGCAGCGAAACAAAGAACTGCATGGCCTCATTCCACTTTCATATCCAACATGAGGTCAGAAGCAATTGATGTTCCACACACAACAGTAAGCAGGAGGTTAGATGAGCATTGAAGAGGGTTAGGGTGGTGGGTTCAACAAAGAAGATGCAAACAAACATTGATATCAATCAGTGAGGCAATCTCTCTTTCTGTGCAGGAAGTACTTTTGTAAATTAAAGCATCCAAAGAAACAGTTACAATATTTCTAGTTAAGTGGTGCATATTTTGGAAAGTGGGAATGTGATCCTCATACTAAACAGGGGCATTGGAAGGTTCAGTTGGCTCCTTTCAGACCTAATAGTCCTTTAGGTTATGTATAGTATGTGAACTGTCCGAGGACTTGTGCTATTGCTAGTGTCATGCTGGCAAACTTGAAAATCTTGTATTATTGGCAGATTGTGGCTGCATGCACGTATGGATACTTTAAAACCTAATGGTAACTACATCAGCGTGACTGCCCATTTTTTTATTGTTATTTGCACTTATATCTGTCATTTTCCTGTGTATTCTGTCGTTTAAATACACGCTCAAAGGCTGTGTCATGGTCACAGTTTTACTGCAGGGTTTGATATGGAAGTAAATTTCTGGAAGAAAGCATTACTTTATTCAATTTCACATGGGAATTTAGGCATTTATGCAGCTACATAGCATGGAATAGGGTCCTAGTCCATGTCATCAAAGCTCTACATGCCACCACAGCCTCTCCCATCAGGTAACATGGCAAATTGCTGTGTGCAAAACGGTGCCAAACTGAAGGGTTTGCAAAAGTAAAGTGCAAGGTTTGTGTGGAAGCGCTAACTATCGTCCAAGTCTCATGACCTCCAGTGCAAGTAACTTAAAAGAGTGCAAGGAGAGAGGAAGGTTTGCACATGGCAGGCAGTGCTGCATGGCTCCTTATATAAATGATCTCCAGGATCACAAATTCACAATTAAACATATACAGCTTTAGGATATGGAAAGAGAGATGCTATGTTTAAGGAAACAAATAAAAATAGGAAAAGAGTTTTTTTTCCCACTTACTCTCATTACGGTCTGCAGTACAATACTGTTTTTTCCACCATGTATCGCCCATGCCCCCTGTATATAGAACCGTCACGGTGTCTACTTCTTGCAAGTACATTATTCACAGTATATCCTTCATCATCACTGACTTCTTCATCACTGACAACGATGCCCTTATGATCCTCAGTTGTGCTCCTTCCATCTTCCTCAGTGACAGTGTGCTTCACAATTTCCCCACATGTCTCATGTTTGACATATATAACCTCCGAGGTTTCCCAACAAGCATCTTTATCACTTGTGTCATCTCCAGCTATAACCCCCAAGATTGCACCCCTTTTCTCAATGTTGTCCAAGGGAAGATTAATAACGTTGGCAGAAGAGATGGGCAGCAGCCTGTTTGGTTTACCAGACTCATCATCTTTTACTCGACTGATGGTGGCCATGTTCCGAGGTCCACAAGGAAGTCTATCACCAAAGAGAATAAAAAGCTAATCTCATCATACGACATAAGTAATATGGTATTATCAGTCAGAATTGAACTCGTAATATAACCTAAGCCTAAAATCGAGAATATATAACACGTGAAAGGTAATCGTGACGTCTAAGAGGGGAGGTGAATTAGGCAACTTAAAAATCTAAATCTAAGCAATGGCCTCTTTTTCTATTCTTAGATAAACCTATGCAAAAGATAAACTATCTAAATGTGTAACTATGATTTCGCTAGTGTATTGCTATCTCTACCGTAAAAAGAGTTATGCAAACAATGTAAATGCGGAAGCTAAAGAGTAAGGCAGAGATATGCAAACTCCCGTCGATGACTCCGGTATTTTTAGCGAGGTATCGAGAAGCGCGCAAGCTTCCCCATAGTCCTTGTTGGAGCCCCTCGCAAGGAATCCCTCGCAAGGGCCAAGCTCCTGGTCGGGTAACTCCGTGGATAGCCCCGGGTCTTCCTCAAGCGCAAGTGGGTCTCCGGTGTGCCTTCCGGCACGCCTCTCCCGGACCGCTCCCCGCCGTCTTCACTATCAAGCTTCCGGCCGAACCGTCGCGGGCCTTGTTCGCTTCGGTACACGGTGGCGGCCACACCATAAACGCGGTTGGTGTGATCTCGCAAGACTACAAGCTCCTCCGATGTACAACAATGGTGCACGCAAGCACCGAGTGGTAGGAGGTATGCAAACCTCACTAAACACTAGGCCTAAACCTAGAGCAAGCGCATAAGCGGTGGTCTAATCAACCTAAGCACCTACGCTAATCACCTAATGAATCACTAAATACTATGCAAGTGGAGATCACTAAAATAGTGTGTTAACACACTTGGTATGTTTCCTCAGCTCCACTCTACTCAAATGGCCAGTTAGGGGTCTATTTATAAGCTCCACTGAGAAAGTAGCCGTTGGGGATGAAACCCAGCTTTCTGCTACTGACCGGACGCTGTTGTCGTCCTGACCGGACGCATCTGGTCACTCACAACAGTCACTTGGTCTTCAGCGGGATCAACTGATCAGACGCTGATGGCGTCCGGTCACATGCCACCGGACGCGTCCGATCGCAACTGCGCCGCACTGGAACCTCTCTGGACTCGATCGGACGCTGCACTTCGTGAGTCCGGTCGTCCAGTTTGCTGCGTCCGGTCACACCGAAAACACTGCCGTGATGATAAACAGTGTCACCGGTGCGTCCGGTCACTGCTTCGCTCAGCGTTCGGTCACAGCTGCCGATGCCTGTTGTTGCCTAGCACCTGATCGGACGCGTCCGATCACTCATAGGGCCACGTCCGGTCACCTCTGTCGGGCTTGTTTCTTCACAATATTGCGTCCGGCTTGGTTCCAATCTTCATGCTTGGACTTTGCTTGACCTTCTATGTCTTCTATGCATCTTCACATGTCTTTCTTGAGGTGTTGATCATCGGATCATCACGTCGCCTTCGTCCAAGTCACGTTTTGCATCCTATTGAACTACAAAACAATTACTTGCAAATTCATTAGTCCAATTTGGTTGTGTTGGTCATCAAACATCAAAATCCAAAGTAAATGGGCCTAGGGTCCATTTTCCTTACAACACGCTAATCTCATCGTCCAACATTCGACATGAATAAGATAGTGTCATCAGTCAGAATTGAAATCGCAATATAATCTAAGACTGAAATCGATTTCTCTTTTTCATTTCAAAAAAAATCATTTCAGAAATCAATTTCTCTTTTCAGAGTCTCTATCCTGTCTATTTTGGGAGTCATGGGATGGATTGAAATTTTTTTTGCTCATTTGCTTTAAAAACAACATAGCAAGGGTAAATCAAAATCAGTCAGTCAGAATCCAGATCCCAAAACTATAGCAACCAACTATAGAGGCCCAAACATTAGCATAAGAACAAAAAAAACATATGTCCCCCATTCCCCTTAAAAAGCTCAACATATAAGAAATTAAGAAGGGTAAACGAAAACCCAAAGGTTGCAGCAATCTACATCGATACAAAAACTATAGCAACCAAGTAAAGGCGCAAAATGTAGCATCAGGTCAAGAAAAACACATCGGAAAACACGACTGACAGGTGAATTGGGAGACACCATGAGTGGGGAAACTAGTTGCTCAAGCGCTGGTGGCCACCAACAAGTCGTTGCAGATGCCATGTAAGAGAGGGGAAATCGACAGGGGGAGGAGAGGCGGTGCATTGGGGTAGCAGAGGTGCCGCCGTTAGGGTATCCGAAGAGACATACTAGAATAGGGCGGATGACTTGCATCTAAGCGAGCGGCGGCGGTGGCGGTGGCGGCGAGGTGCTGCGCGCGAAAAGAAAAAGGTTAAAAAAAAGAGGGAAGGCTGGGCCGGCCAGGTCGGGCCCGAGAGAGAGAAGGGGGAGGGAGAGGGCTTGGAGGATGGGCTTTCGGCCCAAAACTAAGAAGGGAGGTTTTAAACCTTTGACATTTTATAAACTCATTTTCAAACTCAAATTCAAATCATTTTGAATTCAAATCTGTTTTCAAATTCTTTAAGAACATTTTTAAAATTTAAAATTTTGAGATTTACCATTTTCGAAATAAAATTTTGAACTTGTTTTCAAATAAATATTTTAATAAAGTATTTTAGAAAAGAAGAAAACTTATTCACGGCTTAACCGAGTTTTAATAAGTCATTTTTTCACACAGTAAATTAATGCACTCAGCATGAGTGCAACAAACATATTACATTAAATTTCAAAAAAATAGAAATTCACATTTTTCACTATTTAAATTATAAACAACATAATTAAATCTTGATTTTTTTAGAAAAATCATGAAACCATTTATATTATTTAGTGTTTTCTATTCACGTCCCAAAATGGAAATTTTGGGGGTGTGACACTCTTCCTCTCTTGGTGTTGGATCATTTATATCAAGGACCTGTTGGGGATTTGACTTCGCTAGAAAACACAGCCCTAAGACTTCGGAGTTGATCACCATAGTTTTATGTCAAAGATTGCTTGCAGGAATCAAGAGCGAAGGGGAAATTTTGACTTTGCACAAAACAAGCAAGAGAATAGGAGAGATACAAGAGCGAAGACATCTTTTGGACTTCGCCCAACACACGAAGTTAACAAGATTTAGAGCCAGAACTCTCAAGTCAAAGATGCGAAAACATCACCGATGAAGGTAACTTTGAAAATTGACAAGATGACTTGAAGAATGAAGTCTTGAAGAGTGAAAAGACAACTTTGCCCCTATAGCTTAGAGGGGTTGTATTGATTAAAGAGAGGGGTATAATGGTCATTTGTATACAAATTGTGAAGGCTAGGACCTCTATAAATACCCCCTCGAGATGTACTATATGATCATGAAAAGAATACAACTTTATGTTTGTGTTCAAGTTTGAATGTTTGATGCTTGTGTGATTGTTCTACCAGCAGTACCACAAATTCAGTCTCCACTATCTCCCAAATCTTCCAACTCATTGCTTTCAAATGCAAACACATCCTCTTCTCCAATAATCATAGTTTATCCCATCAAAGTGAGGTGGCTTGCCAACATAATTGATTTGAGCCATCGTTACACCGTAGGTTGTTAGACCTTGAAATTGATGGCGACTTAGCTCTGACACCACTTCATAGGATCTAGATGACTAGACAGGAGTGAATAGCCTATATAATTTTTACTACAAACTCACAATTACTAGAGCAAGATGATTATTACAATCAATGGCCCTAATAGCAACTACTTGCTCTAACTCTAATTCACCCAATACAAGCCTCCTTAATCAATGCAAGTAGATTGGTCTCTAGATATGTCACACAATCATGCAAGCTATCAACTATCTAAACAAGCAAGAGCTATCAAGGAAAAGAACTAAGACAAGATATAATAAACACTAGGCTACACAAAGCTAGTAAGGCAATCAATCAACTACTCACAATACAAGTATGAAAGAGATGAACAAGTGAGTAGATAGCAGACCACACTAGGCAAGTGAACACAAGATATATCCCTAAGGTTCGGTTGCTTGCTGCCAACCTACGTCCTTGTTGTGGCGAGTCTAATTTGATGGTTCGCGTGTTAATTGGCCTCACACGTCAAACCCATGACTTACGTGCTGCAAGAACAACCACTCAAGAGGTGCACTCCAACTAGCCACGATTCCACTAGAGTTGCTCTTCTTGATCTCCTGAGGGGATGAGCACAAGAGTCCCTTACAATAGCTTCGATTGGAGTCGGCAACAATTAACAAAGCCGCTCAACGATCCCTCCAATCACCGGGCCAGCTAGGTGATGGCAAACACCAAGAGAAATAAGAGAACAAACATCCCAACTCGTCCAACTAGTGCCACAAGATGCAATAATGATAATGCAATGCACGAGGCTCTCCAATCTCACCCAAATGAAGAATCAAAGGATGCAAGTGAGTCGAGTGTGTTTCTTAGCCCTCAAGAGGTGTGCACAAGTGTATAGGTGCCAAGAGAGTGGCCAAGGCCGACCACAAGGTCTATTTATAGCCCCCACTTGAGAACCCAACTGTTGCCCTCTTGAGACAGCCGCTGCGGGCGCATCGGACATGTCCGGTGATGCATCGGACACCACACTCGATGCCCCAATGACTAGTTTCAAATGGCTTCAAACATAGCCGTTGTTGACTGTTAGACGTCCGGTGGCACACCTGATACGTCTGTTGAGTGCAGAGCTCGAAGTGCTCATTTTACAACCTCTTTGCAAGCCCTGTCTGGTGTGGCGTCCAGCGCCACATCGGATGCGTCCGGTGAGTACATCACCCGACGCACTCAGTTTACATGCTCTCTGGAACGCGCATACCGAACTCATTAGTGATAGGTAGTGGGGAAGTAGGAAGAAGGTGAAAGAGGTTGGCATCCAAGCCGATAGTTTGTCTAATGGATCAAAAAAATCAAGTATATATCATCTCGGTTTTCATCCCTCGAACTAATCGATAGTAGGAATGACCCCATCCTCAATCAAACATAGAGATGGATTAGACAATCAGAATGGATCCATCTTAGAAAACCGGAATAGGTCCATTTTATCTCTGTTTGTTTCCAAACCAAACACAACATAGAATGCCTAAAAATAGGGAAAATTGGTCTGGTAGCATTGAAAGATCGCCGTATCCAGAAAATACCATCGAAATTTTGCCGCTCCGTAAAATACCATCAAAAGAATGCAAGGTCACCTGGATATAGCATTCCGTCACGTTTGGAGCAAACATCGTCACCTCCATCAAGTTCGTCCCCTTCTCCTTCCTGAGGTGAGCGCGGCCACTGCCTCCGCTCCAGGCGGGGGGCCATGGCAGCGAGCTCCGGCGTCTGGCTGCTGCGGGTAGAATCGTGGGCTAGTGCGGTGCAGCTCCGGCGGAGGTGGCTTCGGCGAGCCGTGGCGGAGCTGGCCCTACACAGCAAAGAGGCAATGATCCCCAATGACTACACTCTACGTGTCTCAGATGCGCAACCACCACCGCCACTGCCTTCAGTCCGGCCAGCCGTCTCGGCTGCAGCCGCGGGGCGGAAGAAGTTTTTCTGCTTCGGTAGGATTCCTCGACCCTACGACCTCGAGGACCTGTTGCGCGCGTCCACCGAGGTTCTTGGCAAGGGCACGTACGGTACCACGTACAAGGCCACGATCAAGTCTGGGCCGGTCATGGCGGTGAAGCGCCTCAAGGAGACTTCGTTGCCGGAGCGCGAGTTCCGGGACAAGGTCGCGGCCATCGGCGAGATCGACCATCCCAACGTCGTGCTCCTGCAGGCTGCAGGCCTATTACTTCAGCAAGGACGAGAGAAACTCATGGTGTACGATCGAGTTCGTGGCCATGGGCAGTCTTTCCTCCATGCTTCACGGTACGTGCTCTATTCTTGTCAAGCGACCTGCGACTGCGACCCCTCTGTTTTGATGACCAAATTGAATGAGGTTTTCTGATGGGGTTCCTAATTGCAGGCAACCACGGCTCTGGCTGGTCGCCGCTGAGCTAGGAGTCGAGGAGGCACATCGCGCTCCATGGCCACGCACGGCAACATCAAGTACTCCAACATCCTCCTCAGCCGCACCATGGACCCGCGCGTGGCCGAACATGGGCTCGCGCACCTCGTTGGCCCCGCGGGCGCGCCGACGGCCCGCGTCGCGGGGTACCAGCGTACCGCGCACCTGAAGTTGTGGCGGACCCGCGCCGGGTGTCGCAGAAGGCCGACGTGTACAGCTTCGGCATGTTGCTCCTGGAGCTGCTGATGGAGAAGGCGCCGACACATGCGGTGCTGCACGACGAAGGTGTGGACCTCCCGCGGTGGGCGCGCTCCGTGGAGAAGGAGTGGACGTCCGAGGTGTTCGACATGGAGCTGCTCAGGCACACGGTACCCGAAGAGGAGATGGTGGAGATGCTGCGACTGGCCATGGACTGCACTGAGCCCGCCGCAGACCAGCGGCCGGCGTTGCCCGAGATCGTGGCACGCATCGAGGTGTCGACGGCGTGCACCACACTAGCCCGCGATTCCACCCGCAGCAGCCAGACGCCGGAGCTCGCTGCCATGGCCCCCCACCTGGAGCGGAGGCAGCGGCCACGCTCACCTCAGGAAGGAGAAGGGGACGAGCTTGACGGAGGCGACCACGTTTGCTCCAAACGTGACGGAATGGTATATCCAGGTGACCTTGCATTCTTTCGATGGTATTTTACGGAGCGGCAAAATTTCGATGGTATTTTCCAGATACGACGATCTTTCAATGCTACCAGACCAATTTTCCCTAAAAAATAAGTTCGATATAGCACAAGTCTAATCATAAAGCAAATAACTGCCCAACCCCGAACGTGCAACGTACAACCTACCACCATTGATGCCATCCAAACACGTTCTAAGACTGGGGCTTCCAGGAGTACACGAGAGATGTAGGATTTTGACGGTAGTGGTATCTTCTGTGTCGGTTTGGAAAAAAAACATGTTGCATCATGATGGGTGTTAGCTCAAAATAAATGTGCTCATTTTTCTAAAAAAATAAAATAAAAATAAAAATAAACGTGCTCATTAGGTAAGGTGATAATCGTCATGTTCTCTTCTTTTATAATCCGTACTTTTCAGCTTGTTTTTTCAGCCGGAATAATATTTTTCTCTCACAACAAATCAGCCGAAACAGTGTTTCAGCTTGTCTTTTCAGCGAACCGAACGGACCAATATAGTAGACGAGCTACTCATACCAATTGTAGACTATATTATTTCCAAGAACTACCGCCTTCAGTCTTCACGAATCAAGAAATACAACCGCCTTGGCGTGGTAGATTGTTCTTGCTATACACCACATATCGTGGCCAAATAGATACTTACTGGAATCTTATACAAAATATATATGACAAATTGACATATAACTGGCCGACAAAAAGATCAATTCCAGTTTTTTTGTAAAAAAAAAAAGAAGACAAATAAATTTTTGCCTGCCATAGGAACGAAAACGAAAGCCTTAATTTACTGTCTTTTTCTCAGCTTTACCTCTCACCCACCAGCATCCATCCTATTCCTATAGCATAGGAGGAGGATCATGCCTTGTCGTCACCGGTCCCTCCCCAACCTACCAACCAGGCCAGGATGAACCTCCTGACGTCGACCTCTGTCACCACTCCCACCCGCCCACGCCCAACTCCCACGCGCCAGAGCCCCATTTCGCTGGTACACCGCCATCGCCGACAGGTGGGCCCCTGTTCGTCGTCGCTCTCCCAGCGAGCCGTGCCCGTCTGCTCCTCCTCCCTCCATGTTCCTCGCTGCGCTCTCTTCCCCGCACACTTATCTTTCCAGCTCAGTGTCCGTCCCTCTCTTTTCACACGCACATCTTGCATTCCATTGCTCGCTTCGCTTCTCTTGCTTCCTCATGTCGTCTAGCTCTATCCAATTCCAACACGGCCACCTATAAATATATCTCTCTCTCAGTCTCTCTCGAGCTGAGCTAGGCAGCTAGCTGCCACCATTTGAGAGGATTGGAGCTCGGCCGAGCAGAGCACGTACATTGCGTGTCTGTCTGACATGGCAGCGCTCTGGCTAGCGAGAGCGTCGTCCCAGCTGGCGCGCCGTGCCGCGAGGAGGCTTCCTGCGCGCCACGGCTCCGGCGAACCCACCAGTCCGTGGTTCTTGGGAGTGGTGCCGCCGCCGGCCCTTGGATCACCGGCGGTGGAGAAAAGCCGTCGGGGCTTCTGCTCCGTCCGGAGATTTGCAGGGGAGAGCAGCGCTGCTGCCGCTGTCGACGAGGAGCCGGAGAACGGATTCGTCGCCAGCGATCAGCAGGTATGCGTCGACCATGTGTAAAACGTGCTTCTTGATTTGTACCAGTATTTGTATAATCCGTATGTGTCAGCTGGATTGGAATTGGTAATTGGGTCAGGTTGCTCTTTCCGATTTGCAAATCTTCTGCCTTTGTGGAATCTGAAAGATGAACCCTGGGTACTGCATCCAGGAGTACAGATGGCATGCTTTAACATGTGCTTTTGATAAGGTTTGGTACAAGATATAGAGAAGATAAGGCATCTTTTGCCCATCTTCTATGCTCCCTGTCCCTGACCTGAAACCTGATTGGTGTAATTTGTTGGTACTCAGTAGCCCGGTGCCTTCCTTTCTGAAGTTTTTTTTCCCCAATCCATCTGTGTTCTTCACGTTCTTCCTCAGTCCAAAATTCAGACACGTCACTAACTCTTTCCACGAGTACGTACGCGGTACCCTACGTGATGATTGAAGGTAACAAGTCACAGAGCACAATTGTGGATAGAATTGACAGCAATTAGTAAACAAAGCAGATAAGGATGGATGGGTCTTTTAGGTCAATGGGTTTGGTTGCTGATTTCCTGGGTTGACTGCCTGATAAGCTGATGGTTGTAGTACATAGTAACGTGCTTTCATCAAGAATGTTAGTGCCAATCTTCCGGTATTAGTTTAGTATAATACCTTTGCTTTCTGTGTCAAAGGGTGAGACCCAATGATTAGGAGCCTCTCCTGGTCTTTACTGCACTTTGTTTTATATATATACAAACCAAAATTGCTGTCTTTGGCATGGTCAATGCGGATAGGATTAAATTTGTACACTGCCTCCAGGGCCAATGCTACACTGATGCTGCTGTGCTTCTCAGTTCAACTAAAGTATTTTTGGTCACTGATGCACATGGACACTGAAAGTAAGCCATTAATTTTGCAGGCAGTTGACTTTCCTGGAGGGAAAGTTTCTTTTGTGGCTGAAATGAACTTCCTTCCAGACTCGATGAAGGAAAGGATCAACTGCTACCGTGTGCTTGACGATGACGGCAGAACTATATCAGGCAGTAGATTCCAAGAGGTACGCTGCTGCTCGCCACACCATTTTGAGAAATTCTCTGCAAACATGCTGCGAGGGAAACTTGTTCTGAAGACTAATGTTATTCACCCTTGTCAGGTCAGTAAGGAGTTGGCTCTGAAAATGTACACCGAGATGGTCACCCTCCAGATCATGGATACCATCTTCTATGAGGCTCAGAGGCAGGGTAGAATCTCGTTTTATCTCACTTCCAATGGCGAGGAAGCAATCAACATAGCCTCTGCTGCTGCGCTCGGTATGGATGACATTGTGCTGCCTCAGGTACAACATCAGTTACTCCACTTTTCTGAAGCTTAATCTAGCAAAAAAAAAAAATCCATCAATTGATTTACCCACTGTCCTTTCTTCGCTGCAACCTGTGGAGCCAAAATATAGTACAGGGAACCTGGTGTTCTTCTATGGCGTGGCTTCACTCTGCAGGAATTTGCAAACCAGTGCTTTGGGAACAAGCTGGACTATGGTAAAGGGAGGCAGATGCCCATTCATTATGGCTCGAACCGTCTGAATTATTTCACAGTCTCATCACCTATTGCGTAAGTCTGAAGTATCTCTTCCATGTCGGAAAGATCTTGCAAGTGAAGGACATATGTTTCATTCTTCATTATTTCCCAGAACACAGCTCCCTCATGCTGTTGGAGCTGCCTACTCTCTGAAGATGGACAAAAAGGACGCATGTGCCATCACATACTTTGGCGATGGTGGCACAAGTGAGGTAGATGAAAACTCACCAGCCACTGATCATTTGTTTGGCAGTACCATTATATCCAGCCTTCCTGACAGATGAAACTGTTCAGGGAGACTTCCATGCAGCGCTCAACTTTGCAGCTGTTATGGAGGCACCGGTGATCTTCTTCTGCCGTAACAATGGCTGGGCCATCAGCACCCCAACTACTGAACAATTCAGAAGTAGTGAAACGTGTCTTCTTACTGATCCATGGCAGTTACACAAGTGAACAATCCAATGTCGTGTTAAAATGCAAGTGTTGTTTCAGGTGATGGAGTTGTTATCCGTGGCCAGGCTTATGGGATCCGTGGTATCCGAGTAGATGGCAATGATGCTCTTGCTGTGTACAGCGCAGTCCATGCTGCCCGAGAAATGGCTATAACTGAAGGAAGACCTATTTTAGTTGAGGTGCTCAGTAGTTCAATGGAGTTACATTACCTGAAACAAAAACTTCAGGATATAATTAATCTGAGTAATGACTAATGAGATTTCAGGCACTTACATATCGAGTTGGTCATCACTCGACGTCCGATGATTCAACCAAGTACAGGCCAGTTGATGAGATTGAGCATTGGCGAACAGAGAGGGATCCAATTTCCAGATACAGAAAATGGGTTCAGGGTAATGACTGGTGGTCTGATGCTGAAGAATCCGAGCTCAGGAGCAGAGTCAGAAAAGAGGTACTGCACAAAGATTCATCTTTCCAGCACACTGTGATACATCATACATGACATCTGAAACTGCCTGTTAACTTCTGTGCAGCTTCTTCAAGCCATCCAGGCTGCAGAAAGAATGCCAAAACCACCAGTTACTGAGCTTTTCACTGATGTTTACGATAAGATTCCTTCCAACCTGCGTGAACAAGAGCAATTTCTGCGGGATACAATCATGAAGCACCCTGCAGACTACCCAACTGATGTACCCGTTTAGTTTTCTTGCCCTCGATGAGCAATATCGTTGTGTAATTATTGATGATTCAGGTCCATAGCATTTTAAATAATATAGTGATTCAGCCAGTAAACTGCTGATTCAACAGGTTCTTAAACAATAATTCAACCTGGCAGATGCTACACCAAGCTCATAGATGCATTGCCCTGTTGCTGGCATTTATGTGAAATATAGCCATACTAAGATATTTCATCGCCTGCACAACGTACCTTATAGTAATATCTGCTAAAGCTACATATAAAATATTAGTAAGCAAAGAGGCAGATCGTTTCAAATGATTCCCTATTGTAGCTAACTTAAATTAAATGGCCTACAGTCATAATTTGCCATATAAAGCGAAAACTCTGCAAACAAGATTCTTGAGAATAAAACATTGTAGAGCAAAACAGGCAAAAGAGACGATACCTTGTTTGTGTTAAGGTGGAGAAAAAGCAAAGATTGGATGATTGGAGCACATAATGAATATCAGACCTACAATTTCAAATTCATCTCTCAAGGCCCTATATCAACAATTGTTAACCTAAAATTTCCATGCTAATAATACTAAATACACACTGATATTCTGAAAACTACATCGGAAATAGAACCGCAAATATCTCATACAAAGCCTATGCTTTTGCCCCAGATGTAGTTACAACTTACAGCAACAAGCATATGTTGTATGGTTCCTCACATCTGTCTCAAACATATTTTCCCCTATCTTCTCACATCATAATCACTTATCTATCATTTTTACTATTGAATTGAGTGGGATTCATTCTAATATTTTTCTGAACTAAAGGTATGAAGTTACAAATACTAATTCAACAGATTTTTCTAGAATGATGAAAAATGCACATAGAATCTCTCTTTGTTCTTTCTCTTCCTAGGCACTTTGCGTGCTTCTTTTTGTTTCTTGTCGGTCTATTTTGTTCTGTATTTTTTTCAGGTCACATCCCCTTCTCTTAATGAAACACTTGCATAGCACGTTCTCTAAAAAAAGTCCAATTGGATAAATTCATATCCATTTATTGAGACAAGGACATGCGAGTACGTGACTGGCATATGACTCACACGATACAATAGCATATGGTACAAGTACAGCAGGATTGTTATACTTTTCCGCACATCAAGATTGTGCAAAACTAATATTAAGATTCAAACAGGAAATTTCATAACAAATTCTGCGACTGCTCCATGAGCACAGCAGCCTATTGTTCCTCCTTCATAGCCTCTTGAACCGCCTTTAGAACAAGTGGCATTAAATGTTTATTTGTTGCAATAATTCCTCTTTCACGATCAAGGTGTCTACCTTTGGAAAAATCCAAATCGTTTCCTGAGGCATCTTTTACCATGCCACCAGCTTCTGCAAACACCAGATAGGGGGGCATTAGTAAATAGATTTAATTGTCTCCTGGAATAGAATTATATTCCATACCTGTGACAACAATTGATCCAGCTGCATGATCCCAAACTGTTTCTATGTAACTTTTGTGCGGAATGCGCAGAAAAATGGCACCATCACCACGTGCTAGGGCACCATATTTTGCTTGGCTATCCATTCTAACAGGTGGAGCTTGGACACCAAGTTTCTAATTACATAAGAACAAAGGATTCACTTATATAATTAATCGAGATCTCTGGGCTAAGAAAATAATAATTAAGGACCAACCTCTGCAATGGAGCTAGTTAAATCACGCTTGGAGTGTGATGCTTCAAAGGATTCAAAGAATGAGGCGTCGACTGGATTATCAATGGAGCAAACACTAATCTAAAATGTAAGTTAGAAAAAGAAAGAATATTAAATAAGAAATAAACTTACGAAAACAGGAAGTGGTTATGTTCATGAACCAAATATGAACTTCTGAAAATTGAAGTACTTATATTCATGGCCTAAATCAAAAAGCATTGATTACCTTTTCTGGCTCAGATCCTTCTAAGGCCTCAACTTGCGCTCCACAACCAATTGTAGCAAAAAAGAGGGAACCTATTTGATCCCCAGAAGAGCTACAATTGTTCTTGTTTGTTGATTTTAATGGAAGATTTGGACATCCCAACACACCCAGAACAACTTTGCCCTCATCAAGTAGTCCAAGTGCAACTGCATACTGATCTCCCCTTATGAAACTGCATCAAATTTTTCAGTATAAGAATCTCAATTAAAATAAACATTAAGGCATATTAAACACAGGCCCTGCATTGTCAATAGCTTTTGATCGAATGGCACCAATTGAAATAACTCTTATTACCTCTTCAAAATCATCTCCAAAAATCAAATTCAACTTTGTTTATCTTATGCATTTCATAATTAACCAGGTATGTGAATGGAGAAGCAATGCAAGTACTAGTAAACATTTCAACTCTGTGAGCTGTTGCATTTTGTATATAGAAAGCAAATAGATCAAATCATATAAAGTCATCGTTAATAAGTCAAGTCATCTGATGCATCTAGTTTGCAGAAAAAAAGGGATATCACTGTGCTCTCCCATGTAAAGTTCTTCCATGACTCCATGCTGGTGTAATGACTTCCAACTAGGAAACCAGAGATAAATTGTACATCAATGGTAAAGGATAACACTAAGTATGCTAGTATAATTTGGCAGGCCTAATTTTGCCAAACCTGAGTATATGTACTACGAGATAAGCTATAATTAGTTGGTAAAACATGAAATTAGTAGGTGTAAGTTATCAAACTCACCCTTTAGTGCCATCTATTGGGTCCAATATCCAATGTCGCCCAGATGGACCTCCCTCAGATTTACCACCATCAATTGCAGCAAGCACATCTTCCTTAGATAACGACATGTTGTATGAACCATCATTTACGATGGTTTCATTTACGAGGGTGGTAATGTGTTCTAGAATTTCTTGGGCACCATCTTCTCTCAAGTCTTTTGAATCCTGTAAAAGTACAAATTTACAATTAACCAATTAATTACAGGAAAATGACTTGAAAAAAAAAACAGGAAAATGCTTATGTGATCTGTGTACAATAACAAGACAGTGAAGCATATGCTGGTTACCTCTTCAGCTACGATTGAGAAAGAGTGAGCAGGTAATTCCTTCTTCAGGACCAGACATACCAATACCTGTGATCCTGGTCGCGAAACCAAGAGTAGCAATTAAATTAAAAGTTCAGAATAAGCAGAAGGCCACATGTCTAGTTTTCATTCTGAGAGGGCTCCAACTGATGGAGAACGTATCATAGACATGCTCTCCACATTCTTGTATAAATTAGTATGCTCATGTACCATAATCCGCGACGGTAACAGGAGTCCTGTCTGCCTTCGATTGAATGTCAGACTGCAAGATGCCCCGCTGCACTCTCTGAAGAAACATTGGGAAACATAGGGGAAGAGGAAACAAGTAAATACAAAGGGAATTTGGAATCATCCAGTCCAAGAAAATACAGAAACTAGAGCAAAATGATTCAGTCAGTGACTTGATCTCAATATCAAATGCCAATTTTTTCTCCACATCTAGCATCAGAGAACAATGCCCCTGCCAAGTCATGACTCCCCCATTTCTGTCACAGTTTTTAATCCCAAGAAATACAGACTCAACCCTAGAAGCTTGCCATGTTTTCCCCCAAATTGATGCTCCAACAATTCAGAAGATGCCTTGTTAAAAAAACAATTCAGAAGATGCAACTTGAGCTAACTGCTTCAGAGTATAGAGTTTCAGTAAGGGATTGCGTTTTTAATGTGGCCGATAAGCATCGTGCATTTCGTGTATATTTCGTATTTCCTCCTCCCAAGTATATTTTCATTTTTTTCCCCAGAAATAACTGAAGCACCATCTTTTCCCCAGTGCAAGTTACAACTATTCAGGAATTTACAAACTAAATAAATATTATCCATCCAACGAAACTCCGAACACATAAACTTGGTACGATAATATGCCCGAGCAAATGTACCAACGAACAAACTACCAAAGGGAGCGCGGAGCGGATGCCGGAAGGAACAGGCCGCCAACAGAGAGGGAGATCTAGGATGAGACCAAGTAACCTGGCAGAGGCGGGCCGCTAGGGCGACGGCCTTCTTGGCTGCGGCGAGCTCTGCGGCGTACGGGTTTCCGGCGACCTCCGGAGCCTGCGACATGGTGGCGGGCGGGGCGCGTGACAAAACAAATCTGGGAAACAACTTCGGTTAGTCGAGTCTGTTGTGACGTGTGGCCCAACGAGGAGAATCTCCCAGAGGGTCCTATTTTTCCATTTATGAAATGCTAAGCTTAGACCATCTCCGAGAGTTCCTAAATATTTCTCTAAAAAATTCATGTTTGTCAACTTCTAAAAAGGTTTTATGAGAAAAAACGAAAGTCATCTTTAATAGTTCCTAATATTTGACTTTAAAAAATTAAATATCGATCCCACTTGGCGTTTTTTTCTACAGTCTTTTTTTTTCATGCGAACCTCTTCGTCGCCGCGCGTTTCCATGCCACGCCACCTGCATCTGTCGTGTTGCCCTACCCTGCACCTCCCAGCTAGCCGTGATCTCCTCCCAGCCGGCCATGAGCACCTCAGAGCAGGCCGACAGCACATCCCAGGCACAGGGCGCAGGCAGCACCTCCCAGTAGGCCGGCCATGGCTGCTGAGAAATATCTGTTGCAAAGAGAATTAGAACATGTCAGCAGCTGCAATTGTTAAAACATATTTAAATAAAAAAGAAAGACATGAAGGTTATGTCCCAGACCATAAAGGAATTTATCGAGATAGAGAAGACGGGCACCAAAGGATGCTTCAAGATTACTTGGCTGATGATCTGACATACGGGCCAAATTTATTTCGTCGGAGGTTCGTGTGCATTCACTTGTGATATGTACATAATACACTAGGTAATTGTTGTAAGATTTATTTTATTTTTTAATTTCAGGTACATGATGAGTTGGGATCTTTTCTTACGCATAATGAATACCGTAGAATCATACGACGACTACTTTGTGCAAAAAAGGAGTGCAACCAATGTTTTTGGATTAAGTTGCTTCAAAAAATCACATCAGCATTT